ATTTTGTCATCAGCAAATTAAAACATAACTTCATTTGTATTCTTTTCAAACGTTTTTTTTGGGATGTATAAATACACATCCACGTTCATTTTCTGTATAGAGATTATTCTATCTATATGAATTACATTATACATATTTATTTAACAGGTTAACTTCTAACTATCCTACTGCATTTCGATACTTTTATTTTGGCATTGCACAAGTCATGTCTTCTTTGAATGTCCATGACGTAAAAACACTAAATCCCTGGGATGTGTTTTAGTTGATTTTAGTCTCTGATACATGATTTTTTATTATTAATTGTTTTTGGCTTTTAACTAGCTTTCAGTAACTGCGAGTACTCTCAAATCGTACTTTCGTGTTAATTTGACCTGTTGATACATTTGTAATGTATTTTTGTTATTTAATGTTTACCTATTCAGTGTTATATCTAGTATCACTATTTTTAATATATACCACCTTTGATAAGTGTTTAGTATGACAATAAATTTTCACTTTTGTTCTCGTACTAGGAACAACAAAATTATTTATTTTGTAAAAATTATTTCCGTACTCCGTGTATACCTTACAAAAAAAATCTTTTTATTTACCTGTGTACGTTATTTCATTTGGCGGCATTTTGTCCAAGGTTATGGTTGTCTTTCTGTATTGTTTTACATCTAACCCCTTGTTTTATTAATTTTGTATTTACATTGTGTCATAGATCAAATTTATTCGTTCTGTGTATGTTCACTTGTTTTTGTTAACATGTCTTTTGATTGAGTTAAGCCATTCCAATTGATATTTTATAGTGTGTCTTTCTATGTTGTGATATTACACTATTGTTTCAGGTAGGGTGAAAATTGACGCCTATTAAAAGATTTAACCCCGCTGCATTTGATTGCACATGTCCCAAGTCAGGAAACTGATGTTCTGTGGTTTTCGCTTGTTGATGTGGTTCATAAGTGTTTCTCGTTTCTCGTTTTTTTTTATATAGATTAGACCGTTGTCTTTCCTGTTTGAATGGTTTAACACTAGTCGTTTTTGGAGCCTTTTATAGCTTGTTGTTCGATGTGAGCCAAGGCTCCGTGTTAAAGGCCGTACTTTGGCCTATAATGGTTTACTTTTACAAATTGTGACTTGGATGGAGAGTTGTCTCATTGGCACTCATACCACATCTTCTTATATATATGACTGAAATCGTCGAACGACTCCTTATTGGAGTTATTGCCTTTTAATGACGATTTTTACCCATTTTAAGTATTTTTGCCTATTATCATGAAAACTATGATAGATAGAGTGACACATTAAATAGCAAGAATGATAAACAAGACAAGACCTACAAAGAGGCAACATGGCCGTAATCTCACCCCTTATTTTATTGATATTGCATTTACATTGTGTCATAGATCAAATTTATTCGTTCAGTGTATATGCACTTGTGTTAAGATGTCTTTTGATTGAGTTAAGCCATTTCAATTGATATTTTCTAGGGTGTCTTTCTATGTTGTGGTGTTACACTATTGTTTCAGGTAAGGGTGAAGGTTGGTACCTATTAAAACGTTTAAACCCGCTGCATTTGTTTGCACCTGTCCTTAGAAGTCAGGAACCTGATGTTCAGTGGTTGTCGTTTGTTGATTTGATTCATAAGTGTTTCTCGTTATTTTATATAGATTAGACCGTTGGTTTTCCTGTTTGAATGGTTTTACACTAGTCATTTTTGGGGCCCTTTATAGCTTGCTGTTCGATGTGAGACAAGGCTCCGTGTTGAAGACCGTACTTTGACCTACAGAATAATGGTTTACTTTTACAAATTATGACTTGGATGAAGAGTTGTCTCATTGGCACTCATACCATATCTTCTTACATCTATCTATGAAACTTTGTAAGAACATGCCTTTAGGTGCATTTAATCGTATTAATGAGACAATTTTCCACAAGAAACCATATGTCGTTGACGTAAGCATCCATGGCTATGTTGTTGTACGTTTATAAGGCTAAAAATGACAAGTGTAACACAATTCAATTTTGATAGATAGACAAACGACAACTATTGAATTGTTAAATTGAAGATCATAACTTTTGACAGGCATATATAATATGCGTCTGAGTTTAACATGTTTTCTGGTACCAAACCGTCCCCCTTACTTGAATATTGGTGTAACGGTTCACAAATGTTGTTTAAAGCCTTGGTGGCCGAGTGATTGAAGTAGTTCATCTTTAGTAATCAATAGAGAGGCCAAGTTTGGTTTAATTTGGCCGAGTAGTTAAACTAAAAGCAGAAGATTTTTGAAAAAAAATGATAAAGATTACCAATTTATTTCAGAAAATGTTTTTAACGGACAACAACCCCAATAAGATGTCAATTGCCAATTTTGGTCATGTTGACTTATTTGTAGATCTTTCTTTGCTTTATATTTTGGCTGTGTACAGTATATCTCAATCTATAATCATATTCAAGATAATCAACAAAAGATGCAAAATTTCCTTTCCTTCGCTCCAAAATTAATTTCACCCAGGGCCTGTATAATGCTGGAATTGCCTTTAAATGGTTTTAACGCCCTTCATAAAAAGATTGGGAAAGGGTCTTGACCCCGACTAACCTGTCTGGTCTGGGAGCATTCACCCAATATAAGTATGGTGAAAGTATATGCCATTAATTCCATTTGGCCCAATAGATTAAGAGGAGAAGATTTTTTTGTAAAAGATTACAAGGATTTTTAAAAAAATTGTAAAAGATGACTTTAAAGGGCAATAACCCCTAAAGAGGTTAATTGATAATTTTTGTGATGTGACTTTTTTGTAGGTATTACTTTAATTTACTGAACATTCTTGCTGTTTACAGTTTATCTCTATCTATCATAATATTCAAGATAATAACAAAAAACTGCAAAATTTCTGATATGTTTTTTAACTAGCTACCCTAAGGATGATTTAGGCCAAGTTCGGTTTAACTTGGCCCAGTAGGTTCAGAGGAGAAGATTTTTGTAAAAGATTACAAAAATTTACGAAAAATTGTGAAAAATTGACTTTAAAGGGTATTAACTCCTTATGGGGTAAATTGACAATTTTTGTCATGTTGACTTATTTGTATATCTTACTTTGCTGAACAATTTTGCTGTTTACAGTTTATCTCTATCTATTATAATATTCAAGATAATAATCAAAAACTGCTAAATTTCCTTAAAGTTACCAATTCAGGGGCAGCAACCCAACAACTGGTTGTCTAGTGCGTCTGAAAATTTCAGGGCAGATAGATCTCAACCTGATGAACATTTTTACTCATTATCAGATTTGCTCTAAATGCCTTAGTTTCAGAGATATAAGTAAAAAACGGCATTTTACCCCCATGTTTTATTTTTTTATGATAAAGGCCAAGTTTGGTTTAATTTGGCCCAGCAGTTTCAGAGGAGAAGATTTTTGCAAAAGTTAACAACGACGACGGACGCCAAGAAATGAGAAAAGCTCACTTAGCCCTCTGTGCCAGGTAAGCTAAAAAAGCAAAACGGACCGAAAGCAACGGACAAAAAGAAAAAGTGTCGGACCAAAAGCAAAATTATCGGACAAAAAGCAAAACGGACCGAAAGCAACGTACAAAAAGCAAAAGTGTCGGACGAAAAGCAAAATTATCGGACAAAAAGCAAAACGGACCGAAAGCAACGGACAAAAAGCAAAATTATCGGACAAAAGCAAAACAGGACAAAAAGCAAATGTCGGACAAAAAGCACACAAGTTAATTAAAATCCTTTATAATAAATTCTTTCATAGATACACATATTTGGTTTGGACATTTGGTTGGGTTTATAGAAATATTCATGACAAGTGTTCGATTCCACTGCTGGTGGACTGCTACACTAGCTTATTAGTCGATGCTTCGGTACTGACATCATTTATATCAGACCTATCTTAAATTCTCCGTTGAGAAATATCGAACTAAGGTTCAAACTACATCAGAACTTAGGTTGACTTGGACTTTCTGTTTAGTTTATAACGATTTTATTTGCTCATAGATACAAAAAGGATCGGACACAAGTTTAACCAACTTATGAAGTCTTCTCTTTACATAATATTACAATAACAATTATACAGAGCATGCACAGTTCAGTAGATATATATTAAAGGTAATAGTAAAATGAGGCATTTGCACAGTCAGAGAAGAAAAAGAAAAAGAAAAAAAAAGCCTAACACAATTAACAAGGAAAAGGATAGAGAATTGAGAAAAATAAAAAAAAAAAAAAAAATAAAAATATAAATAAAAGAAAAAAAAGTAAAATAGGAAATAATACAAATATATAAAAAAAAAAAAAAAAATGAAATTCTGTGGACACGGTGTTTTTGTTCATTCATATCTTATTTGATTATACTACAAGGAATCTTTTTGATTTTTTTATATATTTAAATACTTCTTTAAAGATTTCACAGTTTTCCTCGTATGTTAAAAACACTGGACACTTTTAATTTGCAAAACACTCATTTGCAAATCCGCCGCCGCCTCTCCTTAGAGCTACAGTGTCGTGTATATAACCAAAATGTGCGGAATTACATGGGATTCGATAATTTAATTGCTTTTCTGCTGTTATTATTATACATATTTTGTAATTTGATTTAGAAAAACATGGGATTTTCAATATCCCATGGGATACGGCAAATCCCATGGGATTGACCATTATCCCATGGGATTTTGGTTAAATCCCATAGGATTTTTTTGGGTCCCATGGGATAATTGTAGTCCCATGGGATATTTGTTGTCCCATGGGACAAAAAAAATCCCATGGGACTATAATTATCCCATGGGATTTTTAATATCCCATGGGACACATGGGATAATATAAAATCCTATGGGATTCAAATTATAAATATACAGTAAATAAATGTGTATGTTACAATAAATTCTGTTTGGTAGTAAATTGTTTTAAGATGAATCTTTTTAGTTGAATATCTTTTTTTCCTTGGAAATGTTAATGCAATTATATTGTTCTATAACTGTTCAAAACTAAACTTTTAAACAACAAAGCAGATAATGTAAGTATCAATATATGTTTATTTATGAATTCTAGAATACTTTTTTGAAACACAATTTTTCCCATTTGAAATCAATGAAAACTCTATTAATAGGCTTAACATACTAGTAGCTTTTTACATAAATCTATTTTTTTTTCAGGATATCCCTCTACCCAAAAAATTAATAGTTTCTTATCATCCAGCATTGTGTGATCGTAATGTATAGTCCACTTTTTGGCCATTCAGCACAGAACATAGTCTTTATTGTGGTTTTAATATCTTTAGATATTTAATAGAACTTCAATTCATTGACTGAGTGATGAAAATAATAACTGATCTGACTTTTGTCTTTGAATTTAATTTGGTCTTGTTTCTGTGTTTTCTCTTTTTATTCTAAGTGATGAATTTCAATCCTTCTGAAAAAGAACCAATAAAATCCGAAGTTATGGATAATAAAAAATTGTTTGCATACATGTAGCAATAACATATGATTTTCAATAAAAATAGCTATGCGGTATGGATTTTACTGATTGTTGAAGGTTGTCCAGTGTCATCAGTTGCTAACCTCCTACATCCTTTGGTCTCTGATGGAGAGTTGTCAAATTAGCAACATACCACATCTTCCTATTCTAATATTATATAACAATCAATTTATGTATTCTTCTTTATACCATTTGGGTATTTTCCCCAGTTATATATATATATATATATATATATATATATATATATATATATATATATATATATATATAGATCAATGTTAAAACTTTAGGCAATTACAATAAAATTCCATTTTTCACAAGAATTTGCAATATATTATACAGAAAACCAACAATAGAAACAGCACTTCTTCAAGCTTCTGAAGTTCTGAAAGAGTTCCACTTGTGTTTTATTTCAATTAGAAAATACATTGAACTCTTTGGACATGTTGGAAATTATAACATTGATACAAAAAATTATATTGTTTTTTTTTCTTATTTTTGTGTTGTTCGGTTGCTGTCTCATTTTTATATATGGTTATACATATATCCTAAATCTTCTTTTTTTTTAAAACTTAATCATTAATAGTAAAAATGGGATATTTTTTATTTTGATAATCTCAAAACATTATTATTCTATCAAATAACTTATTTCCAAGTTCACAAAACACCAACCAATGTGTCAGATATTAAATTTAAGACATGTATAAACATGATCAACAAGCAGTTGACAGGATGTCATGCAAAAATCTCACTTATATTAAACTTTCACAAAAACTCCATACTCAGCGAGTACTATTAACGTTCTTTATAGTACATGACAAATTCCTAATACAGGACACCATGCCTGGTAAACACTAGCATGTGTCAATGTCTAGTCAATCATGTAATCAGGCTCAAAATCTTAGTTTGGCACTGAATTTAAAAATTCAACACATAATGAACATGTGTATGAAATTCAACTTTATGGTAAGCTATATACCTTAACCTAAAACTTTAACCTAAGAATGTACTATAATTTCACATTATGACATTTCTATGTTCAGTGATTCATAAAATCAGGGTAAAAACAGTAAATGTGGTGTATAATGTATAAACAAGAGTGCACACGCTGAAATGTTGCGCCTTCCTTACTAATCATTGATATCATGTTGATAGTCCTAAATATAAAGCTTTACTACAACTATCACATAAACTCAACATGATCCAAGAAAATGAATTCAAGGTCATATGAACCTGACAAGAAATATATGTACACCTTACAATCATTCAATATACTAAATACAGTTGACCTATTGCTTATAGTTTCTAACATTGTCTAAGAAGCACTCTTAACCAAGAAAACTAAACATTGACCAATGAACCATGAAAATGAGGTGAAGGGCAGATGAACCATGCCAGGCAGACATGTACAGCTTACAATCCTTCCATACAACACATATAGCTGACCTATTGCTTATAGATTAAGAAAAACAGACCAAAACACAAAAACTTAACACTGAGCAATGAACCGTGAAAATGAGGTCAAGGTCAAATAAAACCTGCGAGACTGACATACATGTACATCATAAAATGTTTCCATACACCAAATATAGTTGAACTATTGCATTTAGTATTAGAAAAAAAGACCAAAACTCAAAAATTTAACTTTGACTACTGAACCATGAAAATGAGGACAAGGTCAGATGACACCTGCCAGCTAGACATGTACACCTTAAAATCATTCCATACACCAAATATAGTAGACCTATTGCATACAGTATAAGAAAAACAGACCAAAACACAAAAACTTAACTATAACCACTGAACCATGAAAATGAGGTCAAGGTCAGATGACACCTGCCAGTTGGTCATGTACACCTTACAGTCCTTCCATACACCGAATATACTAGACCTATTGCTTATAGTATCTGAGATATGGACTTGACCACCAAAACTTAACCTTAAATATAAAAAAGAAGATGTGGTATGATTGCAAATGAGACAACAACTCTCCACAAGTGACCAAATGACACAGAAATTAACAACTATAGGTCACCGTACGGCCTTCAACAATGAGCAAAGCCCATACTGCAGTCAGCTATAAAAGGCCCCGAAATGACAATATAAAACAATTCAAACAAGAAAACTAACGGCCTAATTTATGTACAAAAAATGAACGAAAAACAAATATGTAACACATAAACAAACGACAACCACTGAATTACAGGCTCCTGACTTGGGACAGGCACATACATACAGAATGTGGCGGGGTTAAACATGTTAGCGGGATCCCAACCCTTCCCCTAACCTGGGACAGTGGTGTAACAGTACAACATAAGAACGAACTATAACAAGAAATGAATGTAACAGGATGCTGTTACGAAGTCTCCCAAACGAAGCTCCCATAATTCGTAATTCCCAGGGTCGCCTGACATTGGGCAACTTCCAGTGAAAATTGGTTTGGTCCAGTAAAGTTATATGCATTAGTGATGCCTGGGGACTAATCTTGTATATCATTCAAATCATCTTGGCATGACAAACCAGAATATATATGGTTTAGGGGTGGGGATCTCGACCATTTACAAGATACTAGAACATTGGGGGTGGGGAGGAACCCCTGGGGACTGGCCCTATACGTCATTCAAATGTTCATTACATGACGAACAGGAATATATATGGTTTAGGGGTGGGGATCTCAACCATTTACAAGATATTAGAACATTGGGGGTGGGGGGGACCCCTGGGGACTGACCGTATATGTCATTCAAATGTTCGAGACATGACAAATAGGAATATATATGGTTTAGGGGTGGGGATCTCAACCATTTACAAGATATTAGAACTTTCTCAAATGGCAGGGGGTGGGGGTGACCCCTGGGGACTAACCCTGTATATCATTTGATGTGCTTTATCATGACAAACCAGAATATATATGGTTTAGGGGTGGGGATCTCGACCATTTACAAGATATTAGAACTTTCTCAAATGGCAGGGGGTCGGGATGTCCCCTGGGGACTAACCCTGTATATCATTCAAACCATCTTAGCATGACAAACTAGAATATATATGGTTTAGGGGTGGGGATCTTGACCACTTAGAAGATATTAGAACTTTCTTAAATGGCAGGGGGTGGGGGTGAACCCTGGGGACTAACCCTGTATTTCATATGATGTGCTTTATCATGACAAACCAGAATATATATGGTTTAGGGGTGGGGATCTCGACCATTTACAAGCTATTAGAACTTTCTCAAATGGCAGGCTGTCGGGGTGACCCCTGGGGACTAACCCTGTATATCATTCAAACCATCTTAGCATAACAAACCAAAATATATATGGTTTAGGGGTGGGGATCTTGACCACTTACAAGGTATTAGAACTTTCTTAAATGGCAGGGGGTGGGGGTGACCCCTGGGGACTAACCCTGTATTTCATTTAATGGGCTTCATCATTTAGAACATTTTCAATTAAAAAGATTGTGTCTATCACAAACGGTTTTCAATTTATAATCATTTGAAAATTTAAAAAAATAAAATCCCATAGGGTTCTATAGTAAAACCCTCTTTTCTTTTTGCCCCTCAAAGTACCCCTTTATAAACCCCACTGCACAAACAAAACCCTGATTGCACCACTAGACATGTTAGTCTAACATATTGTGAAACCCTAAGTTAAACTGACAAGCGGTTTTGGAGAACGGGTGCAGACAAGTTCAAATTTAAAAGCGGCGGAAGAAGAAGAAGAAGAAGAAGAAGAAGAAGAAGAAGAAGAAGAAGAAGAATAATAATAATAATAATAATAAGAACTGAGCAAAAACAATAAGTCTTCCCAAACTTCGTTTGGGTCTTAAATGGCAGGGGGTGGGGGTGACCCCTGGGGACTAACCCTGTATTTCATTTGATGTGCTTTGTCATGACAAACCAGAATATATATGGTTTAGGGGTGGGGATCTCGACCATTTACAAGCTATTAGAACTTTCTCAAATGGCAGGGGGTCGGGGTGACCCCTGGGGACTAACCCTGTATATCATTCAAACCATCTTAGCATAACAAACCAAAATATATATGGTTTAGGGGTGGGGATCTTGACCACTTACAAGGTATTAGAACTTTCTTAAATGGCAGGGGGTGGGGGTGACCCCTGGGGACTAACCCTGTATTTCATTTAATGGGCTTCATCATTTAGAACATTTTCAATTAAAAAGATTGTGTCTATCACAAACGGTTTTCAATTTATAATCATTTGAAAATTTAAAAAAATAAAATCCCATAGGGTTCTATAGTAAAACCCTCTTTTCTTTTTGCCCCTCAAAGTACCCCTTTATAAACCCCACTGCACAAACAAAACCCTGATTGCACCACTAGACATGTTAGTCTAACATATTGTGAAACCCTAAGTTAAACTGACAAGCGGTTTTGGAGAACGGGTGCGGACAAGTTCAAATTTAAAAGCGGCGGAAGAAGAAGAAGAAGAAGAAGAAGAAGAAGAAGAAGAAGAAGAAGAAGAAGAAGAAGAAGAAGAAGAAGAAGAAGAAGAAGAAGAAGAAAAGGAGGAGGAGAAGAAGAAGAATAATAATAATAATAAGAACTGAGCAAAAACAATAAGTCTTCCCAAACTTCGTTTGGGAGACTTAAAAATCAGTTGAAAGAGGCTTAACTCATCAGATGGATAAAAATACAAATACTACAAATACAAGTGGACGTGGCCGGGTACTTGTACATCCAAACAACAAAAAGACACTAAGTATAGATCTGAGAGTACTCGCAGTCACTGACAGCTAGTACAAAGCCACTAACAACTAATAAAAAAAATCATGCATCTAAGACTAAGTTCTTGTTCACTGATCCATGAAATGAGGTCTAGGTCAAGTGAAAACTCTCTGACGAGCATGAGGACCTTGCAAGGTACGCACATACCAAATATAGTTATCATATTACTCATAATATGAGAGAAATTAACATTCAACAAAATCTGAACTTTTTTTTCAAGTAGTCACTGAACCATGAAAATGAGGTCAAGGACAATGGACATGTTTCAGACAGAATTGGTATCATGACATGCATGAGGCATCTATATACAAAGTATGAAGCATCCAGGTCTTCCACCTTCTAAAATAAAAAGCTTTTAGGAAGTTAGCTAACGCCACCGCCGTAGCCGCCACCCGATCACTATCCCTATGTCGAGCTTTCTGCGACAAAAGTTGCAGGCTCGACAAAAATACATGAACATTTTAAAGTACTAAATTTTTAGTATACCAACACTATCAAAACAGAGCATAAAACTTACCGAACAAGATCTTTCAGAAGCAGGAAAATTGAAGTGTTTCTTTTCTTTCTCTGCCCTCCATGATATAAACTTCAAATTCATTCATGCAAAATATGAAAATCTGCAAAAGTAGGACCTTGTACCGCAGCTTATCCACATTTTGACTTTTGAACTGCATTGTTCTTTTCATCTTGCTGGCAACCTAAACATAAAAAAAAAAATGATAAACACATAATTCTGGATTAACTTCGTGTATTTATTTTTGTTGGTACAAACAATTTTTTCCAACTTTAAACTAAATCTGCCTCTGCTTTAAAAAACAACTGGAAACCATTATTAACTGCATGTATTTATCTTAATTGAAAACAATTTCTTGAGTTTTTCTCATTTGTATCACCCTGTTATTATATATAAATTTTATTTTTGTCCCTTTTTAAAAATAGGAATGCATGGTTAAAATTCCTTAATAATCATGATAATTCTAGGTCAGTCAATTAAAAATGTATGAATAAATTATTCAACCTATATACTATTAATATCAATATATTTATTTTTTGATAAAAACTAGGCTCTGTGTTAAAGACCATACCTTGACCTATAATGGTTTACTTTTATAAATTATGAATTGGATGGATAGTTGTCTCATTGGCACTCATACCACATCTTCCTATATCTACAAACAGATTCTATGGGCGAGCAGACATTACACCCTGGAGGTGGTTTTATAAAAAGCATACGACTTAGATGTACCATAAGCATGGAAAAACAATTCAGCAGTCAGTTTCACAAAAAAACTTACAAATAATATTGATAGTAATTATTAAAGTCATGTACAATACAGTATACTTTATACGATTACTTGTATTTTTTTTTTTGTAAAACCGACTAAAGTATACTTATAATCAATCTTAGTCGTAAGTATTAAGTGTTATTCATCTTTTGGATAATTTTATGTTGGTTTATTTTATGAATATGCAGTGGCGGATCCAGAACTTTTCATAAGAGAGGGCCGGCTCCAGTCATGCTTCAGCCTCGTTGTATTGCGGAATAACGATTTAGGCAAATTGAGAAAAACATCATGTCTGTGGTTGATAATAGTGTGTATGCTTTAATTTTCTATACCTTCTTATTAAATATTTTTCCAATTTTGAGTACTGACGGCAAGTGTTGTAACGTATAGTGTACCAATGTCTTGAGACCAATGTGCTATTTACAAGTGCGATCGAGGAATGCAGGGGAAAGAAACTTATCAATTATGTTTATTCTTAAGACAAAACTGAGCCGCCGTAAAAATGAACCGTGTCGAGAATGTTACTGACACGTAATAGGGCAGAGACATATATACACATATGTGTATATATGTCTCTGTAATAGGGTCATCCCTCGAGAACATTAACAAGTACATTGATAATTTACTATGCAGTCAGTATCCCGAAAAAAAAACAACGTATGGATGCAAAACGCTTAGTGGTTTCGGCTGACTGCTGATACGTGCACTTTGTCTCAAAATATCCCGGATAGTTGTTTCATTACCAATCATACCACATCTCCTTATTTTTATATATACGAAAGCTTTATTCATATTTTTTGGTGTATTGATGAATGTGTAAAGATACATTTTAAAATACAGCACAAGAGATGCAGATTATATAAAACTTATAGGTCGAAGACATACTGACAACGCCATGGCAAAAACTTAAAAACGACCAAATGACGTACAACAGTCTGTAAAACTTAACTATAGCATACAAAACGCAAATATTTAAAACACATAAGAAGCACCCAGACAGTCAAATAGAAATTAAAAGAATAAATAATTTGTAAACTAGGCCTACAGCTATATTTTCTTATCATCTAACAGTAAACATAGGTTCTGGTATTATGTGATAAGTCATTTTTTCATGCAGACCCAGTTTCATTGATACTTTGAACTTAAAGTGGTTTTATGCATATCAGCCCAGATTATCATATGTGTGTAATTTTATTAAACAATTCACCAATACATATTCTAAACAGGTTAAATTCAATTTACAAATTCAGATCTACTGGCATTCAACACCCAATTACTTACTTGCTGTATATTGCTAACTTAGATTGTATATTGTCAATCCCTCAACATCGTGAATACGCCATGCGAGGTGTTGGCTATGTTTGATACAGGGTGGCGGCTTCGAAGCGTAGAACAAAATCCAGGTAAATGAAAGTATAAAATTTTGTTGTTGAAAATTTTAAGTACTAAATTCCTAAATTTGTACTTAACTCCGTTCTACGGGTAACATGGTTGTTTGATATGAAAATAGGATAAAAGCTTCCGAAAATTATCACATTATAAGTATTCGTAAATGGATATGAAAAAACTTAACAAGGAATAAGTATTGGTAAACGGACAGAAAGTCGCAGTACAAAAGTTTAAATTAATTATTTTACAATTGTTTAAATATATGAGAGAAAGTTCTTGACGAATTGACTTTATTTATAGATAAATGTATTTAGCTGAGGAAATGATTAATTCGCCTTCAAATAGTTTTTTTTTTTATCAAAAACTTATAAAAAGGAGGCATTTTTGACAGCATGAAGCCAGTTAATTACCAAACCACTTTGGCAGATTGTTTTCTTAACAATCATTGTTCAATATTAATATTCAAAAATAAATTTTGTTTACAAGTCCGTTTCCTTTTAAAAATATTTCAGAAAAATGCTGAAACGTTTTTAAAATTAAGTTTATTCAAAGAAAAAAATATCCCAAAACTGAATCGTGACTTTTTACTTGTTACTTTATGTTGTACGTTCTAAGTGTCAATCCTAGCAAACACAAATTTGGAAATAAAATCGATTACAATGTAATTTTATAGAAGAAAAAAGGGGGTTAATGAACAAGTTATTACTATACACTCATATACTTCTAAAAAGATTTGAATTTGTAAGCTGTCTATAGATAATGTTAAATCATTTCAAGAGTTTCAATTAATTTAGGAGAAAAAAAAGATTATAAACAGTTTAGTTTTCGTCGCCTACTACTATAAAAAATAGTGATTCTTTTTGTAGATTTGGTACTTCAGTTTCGACTCAAAATTTCCTATTGAAATTGTTAGAAATATTTAGGAGAAGATTGTATTTGTAATTTATGTAATTGTGGTGATATTGGCGACGCGATTCATTATATTATAGCAAGGATTTGTACAAATCCTTGATTATAGAATGTTCGACAAGAGACGAAAGTAGACAAACCCTATTTAAACGGGGTTTTGATATCCAAGGACGCCACATTTTACATCGAATAAGATCTATATTTTTTAACGTTTTCAAATGAAATAACTTGAATTGAAAATTTCCCGACTATGTGAAGATTTCTTATATTTCGAAATGGCTCCAATTATTACATACAAAATGGAAAATGTATTAAACTTCTTTTTGTAAAAACAATATTCATGTATTTTTAGAAACATAAGTTATACAGATGTTCTCAATAAAAAACAATCATTAATATACTTTATGGTGATATTTATAATGACTGGCAAACTGCTATTTAAAAGTGCGGTCATATGCCTCAGTGTTATAGGTGACTGCAATTTAATAAAATTGAAATTAAGATTTTTATTAATATTTTGTATATAGGTATCCCGCAATGATGTATAGCATGGACAGACTGAGAAGAAATGGTATTCATCCTCAATTTCTTGTCTACTGCAGGATAGGCAAATAACATAAGTTTATTTGCTACTTTTTTTCTTCTTTATTTTATATAAATGATTTTTTTTTCTTCACATTTTAACATTTTTTTCTTCGAAAAATTTGTAGTGTTGCAACAGGGAATGGACACAGATACTTAACTATATTTAACGAAAGAAATTTTGTGTAATGTCATCAATCTGTATTACACATCGACAGGATGTTCTCTAGAAAACTATGGTATTTCTAAAACGTTATACACACCCCAGGGTACACGCACTGTCGTAATGGAAAATTACTGCATGCTTTAATTACCTGTAATCAGCCATGCAACAAATCCGTTGACTGACCATGTCATTACAGTTTAAATTTTTTTTCCTTAGATCTAAACGGAATATTTATTTTAACTTTAAAATTTAAAACTTTAAAAAGTATACTTTGACATAATTATGAAGTAAAAGAATTTAACAATTTAATAATTGGATTTTTCCAAAGATTAAGATACAATTATTATATTTATTATTCTAGGACTGACAGATATATCACAGACACTTGTCTCAGATTTTTTCCCCTATATACCTTAATTAAAGTATATAGATTTTTTTTCTGAGACAAGTGCCTGTGAGATATATACATGCATAAGTCCCAGACATATATACTTGTAAATCAAAATGATTTACATAATTACTGGGAAATAATATAATGTTTCAGTTTTGTTGATGTCACAAATACACATGAATTATTTGATGATGCATGCTGGAATTTCTTATCTAAATGCATGACCGTGACTACAGACATATATCCATTTACAGATTCTATAATTTCTTGAGAAAAAAAATCAGGAGGGAAGTCAGAGGGAAGTGAAACAAACATTTTAAGCTTTTATTAAACATTGTTGGGAAAACAATAAAATACGACACTGAGTTTTGAAAAAAACATTTATGATTGGTCTTGATTTTTTTTTAACAAAGATAGAAACAATGCCCCCTTTTTAGCCACACCGACACACGCCGATGAATGGAGAATTCCAAGTAGGGTCACAAGGTCACATTTTAAAACTTTCTCAGTCGCCCAGTCTCAAAAAGCAATTTTGATTGGCTTTGTTGTATATTTTTGCAGGTCAGGTTGCAAAGTGGCAGGTCGGATTTGACCATGTTGACAACGGTCCTAAAAATATCCGAAAAACGTTGAATCAAACCTACACAGTTTTAATTATAAGACTGACACACACCATGCAGTGTGCTAACTGTGCTGGGTGAGGTGCTGTAACTTGATATACATGTATCATTAAGTTACAGTACTGTTAGGATTTGCCTGCCTTTTTACAGGGACTTTCTATACTAACTGTTAGTATAGACTGACCCTGGCTTGAAAGTATGGTTCTCTGCTCAGCAACGGTCGCGTGATTGTAGCAGTAAAATACATCGGGGGGGGGGGGGGGGGGGGCACTTCAATACTTAATTGATAGGGGTGTCGCTTGGGTTCTGTTACCCCACGCTTTTCATATAATTTAGATCTTAAAAATGTATACCTTTTCATATATTGCGTCGGTAAAATTGTAACCTTTTCCCATATTGGTTGGGTTTCGTGGGGTGTGTTGGAAAAGTGGAATATTTAAGGCTAAGATTCTGTGTGTAATGTTTACTTACGGCGAGACTTTCGGCTGTGCAAAAATGACAGGGCTTTGCATGTACAAGTACATATACAAGTAATTGGAACTTTATCGACCTTATCATATATTTCTGACAGTTTTCCCCACCTATTCCCATATTTTCAAGATGGAA